GTATAATGAACACTAGCACTGTACCCCTAATGTCCTCACACGAGCGATTATGAGGTCGGTCGCCTCTATCATATAGACGGGTATATAGCACACCGATATGTTTGACTATCTCGATGTCCCTCGTGAGTAATCTATGACTGGGTATATTTAAGGTCCATATTTATAAGTGAATTTATTTTATTATCATGATCTCATCATGATCCAATTCCTATTGCACAAATCCAGGGACATCACAATATATTAAGTAGGTAATATAAAATGAGATAATATCAATAATAATAATAAACCAAAAAGACTATATAGCATATCACACGTGATTGACTTGTAGGGCATATATAATTAGCGTCAGCTTCCACCCATTTCGTAAAATAATCTACTAGGCTAACAGAAAGGGTCCGAAGAGATTCATAATCTATTGGGAAAAGGGCCATCCATAGTTTATCGGGCTTAAAGGGATTGTCGATTAATGTTATATCTGAGCAAACCTATTGCATCCTTAAGCAATATAGGTCAATAGAACTCTAGCCAAAGCACTTTGAAGGCAAGGGTTCATCCACTAATGTGCTCCCCGTATATACCATTATACATCTTGATGAGCACCCTTTTGGTCTCTTGGGGTATTAGGTATTTGATGAATGGTTGGCTAAAGGACCTACGATATAAGCGATTATTAATTATGCAATATCATACTTAGTAATGCTTGACTCTTCGGCTGTTACGGTAGGGAGTGTTTCATCTTTTTTGTAGCATAGGATCTCATCTATCTAACTTGACACCTCGATCGTGGGCATATCGTTTTTCTTAATGGTTTGGGTCATTGAACAGATGCCAATATCACGTCGGCATTTTGTACCAAGGTGGATACATTCATATGCAGAAAAGGTGGCTCTTAACCCCTTGAATGAAAGTATTATGGGTCGGGGACACGACCTTCTTGCTCCATTATTCGTTAAGAGGGTTGGCAGATGAAAGGTCCTGCGACATCGGACCCTCCTTCTAGTGCCAAAGTGATTAGAAAAAATATCATTGACGTATGTATTAGCATGACATGATCCGAACTTATATGCGTATAATTATTCGAGGTGCCTCCGAGGTAAAAATGTTAAGCTCTAGAGAGGCCTCCTACACAAAGATCAAGGTCGGGAGGGGTTTCTCAACTTGGTCCCTCCAATATCCAAGTTAGTAATATGAGGTAGATAAATGCATATGCAAGTAGTCATAAGAAGTAAGCCCCCCTCAAAGATAAGCTTTTATACTTAGTTATAAAAACAAGATGTTCTATGAAATATTCTACGGTGAGGCAGCTTCTAACCATCCCCAACAATCCCTTCTTAGTTTTTTGTCAACATGGGCAATTGGGGAGACAATCCTGAACTATCTGCCTTGGACCTATTTTGGACTCTTGTCCACATGGGCAGATAGGTGGAAGGTAACATAAATATTTTTCTCCCACCGAGGACTCCACATGATGGCTACATGTCAGATGATGATTAGTTGATAGTATACGCCCTATTAATTTTATATAAGGATGTGACATAATTAATTTATAAATTATCTTTATAGCTAATTCTCGACGTCAATAATAGATTTATTGAAAAATGTAGACGGAGGATCTCGGATTCTTATATTTTTAACATAAAACTTTTAAATGTGGTAACGTAAGTTTAAATTTTAAAGAATAATTTAATTTATTTTAGACAACGGAGATTATACGGCATATGGATTTTGGGGATATATATATATATATATATATATATATATATATATATATATATATATATATATATATATATATATATATTGTAAACTTAAATTTAGACTACGAAAGACAATATATATATTTTGGTTGTGTCTACGCTTACGTGCATGTGTGACGTGCGGTGTGTCCGCTTGCCGACCTGAATATATAAATGTGAAATTGTGTGTTCTTATGTTTACATATGTGCATATTCATGTGTACATACACACGTGTGTATGTATATGAATCACTGATTTTGACGGACCAATTTTGTCAATAGCCTTAGGAGTTCTTATTTTTAGATTTATTTTATACAAGGATGTGACATGGCGAAATTTCCAAGTGTGGATAGACAGACTTAAGTCATTCAACTCAATGCAACTCTTTGTTCAAGCTAAAAAACTTGGGAGTCCTGAATGAATATATCTATCCATTATAACTTTATTTTTTCTTCTTCTTATTATTTTTGTTTGACCAAGGCGTCACCTATTCTAGTTTTATTCAACAGGTCACTTCAATTTTAGGAAAGCCATAGAACAAGGGGTTTGAAATGGTTTGTGGAGGAGCATGAACCCTAATAATTCTTGATGAAATAAAATCCTATTTAATTATCTTGTGTTTTAATTTTTGAGATCATTGATCGCTGTTTTAGTTAATTGGAAGTGCTACGTGTACAATATACATCACGCAACTCAACTTTAAGTTTGATACTATTGGCATCCATCAAATACATTACTAATTAACGAGCAAAATTCATTATATAATAATATAATATTAAAACAAGGGTAAATGCTAAACATGATCTAATCTCTCATGACTCTACTAAATTGTGAGAGAATATTATATATATTGACTAAATCAAAGATATTTTACCGATAAAAAATTTTACTATTGACTTCTTGCTTGATTGATGGCGCCCTCAAATTTGTTTTTGCCTAGCCATACTCTTTTTTTTTTTTTTTCATTTGGACGAAAATATCTTCAAACTTTTACTTAATGACTTGATCACATATATTATTTTTTTATAAATAGTATTAATTATCATATAATTTTTTGAAATAAAAATATAATATTAATCAATTTAAAATCACGTCATAGTGTTTTGATGAAATTTTGAGTTGATTTAATAGAAGTCGATGAAATTACTCTCAAAATTAAATTAAATTACACTCTATAACAAAAATATTCCAAATAATCTTAAAAACATGTCATAGCAACATGTGAAAGTTGACTAAATTAATTACTCTAGTTACTATATGAAAATTTGAATTAGCTTAATAGGAATTAACTCAATTAAACTCAAAATTGAACTAAATTATATTCAAGTTATACTCGATTATGAAACCTATATTGGATTTGATTTGGAGTGTTTTTATCATAAAAAAAATATCATCACGTAAAAACAAATACAAGGGCGTTATCCAATAAAAAAAATCAATAATAAAATGCCCCTCAAATGTTGATGTGATGTGCCCACACATACGATCCACGAGAGGCAACATCACAATGGAAACTTCTCTCGATGGATTCAGTCAATCTAAATAATATGACGTTAATCAATGAGATGGAAAATTTTCGAGCGATGCCAACGAGTGGATGTCGACTATTTGGACGAAAGTTGGGTGGTTCGATGTTGGATTCAGACGTCAATCAAAGAGCCTCCAATTTTGAACTCTTTCTATCTCTCCAATTTTGAACTCTCTCTCTCTCTCACGTAACATGCATGAATCTTTGTGTGGTTGTAGGCAACGATGAGTCAGATTCACGTGTTCAGTCAGATTCAGGACTGTTGGATTCTCAGACAAATTCATGTTCTTACTAATTATTTTATAAATATAAAAGAAAAAAAAGAGAAATTATTCAGTCATATATCATTTTACAAATTATTATTATTATTATTATTATTTTGGTCAAAATCTTTCCGCCACAAACACAGTCAAACCGGTTTCCATCATTTGCTTGCATCAACCATGTTTGCAGAGACTCATCATTTTGCGGTCTATACACAATAAAATAAATTGTAGCACCAATTTGTGGAGCACTGGCCAAGTTTTCTAGAAAATTCTATATTATATACATATGTTAAGAAAATAAATTAGTAGATTTTTGTAGCATGCGTCCAATCAAGAAATTTAATGTGATGCGTGGGCCAAAATCACACGATCAGCAGCTTCGCATGGTTATCGCAAGCCGTTGACTTTAAGGGCGCGTGCGAATCAAGTAGTCGAGGATCACGATGGGCCCACATTGACCTTAACCCGACACGAGTTTGGAATCGACCGAAGTTTTGACCAGGAAATTGAGGGCGGCAGTGTGAACCTGGTGGCCGCCCCGGTCCACTCCGTCTCCATCCACGTGCGAGGAAGTTGACCTGATGTGGTGGATTTGTGCCGTTGATCGAGGATTTTTGTTCTATAGAATTTTGAATCGAAATCGATTCGTTTTCGGACAGATTCTAATTTCAGCTTCGATTCTAATTCTAATTCGAAACCATCTATTTTTAATATTATTATTATTTTTTCAAATACCCCTCCGATTAATCGTAAGTTATTGGATGGAGTAAATCTATCATTTAGAGGGACATCTGATCATTTAGTTTTTTTTTTTGTTCTTCTGGCAAATTTGGAATCGAAAAGAAATCATAGATTTCGATTAAGATTTTAGGAACAAAAATCAAACCGTTCAATTCAAAATTATCGAACGGTCGACCCATTTCGATTGTGATTCTGGATCGATGCAAATCCAATTCAAACCGAACCGCGATGGGTCTACTTGTCTTCCCTTGCGACCACCCTTCACAGCCGCCGCCCACATTCCCAATATACTTTATATCTAATCATCCTACCGAACATGATTTGATTAGCCATGCTTTGGACATCTAACACAAATGCCACCTTCCCGGAAGGTGCCCTGTGCTGCCTTTTGGCTTAAACAATGTCTTCTCATTCGGAGAATCTTAACAGAGAGGAAAAGGCAGCATTGGACAAAGCATGTCCACCAAGAACTAGTGTAAGAAGAGTCAAGCGGTCTTCGGTCTCCATTCTTTTCTCTCGTCCATTTTCTAGGGCTTTCATTAGCCTTGAATTGACCCACACCGAGACTTCTTCTTTTCCTTTGCTTAAAGCTATTAAATGACCAACCCAAGCCCATCTTCTCCGAGTCATTCATCCACCATGGTGACGACCGGGCTCTGACGTCTCCTGGATGATGTCAGTCTCGTCTCCTCCCTTTAATTCCATAGAGTTGATCTATATATACCTCACCTGTTCTTCTTGTAAGGCTTCGTGGGGATCTGTCTGTGATCCTCCTCGTATCATGGGATCGGCTTGGTTGGATCTCGACCTCAACGTTGGCTCGCTCCGATTCCCTGTCGATGCTCCGGTGAGTACACCTGTTCGACCTTAGACCAGCTAGATGATCTCGTTCCACTCTGTCGTTGCTTAGTATGTCGTTTCTGCGTGGTGTAGCAAGTGTTCCCCGTGGAATACAAGCGTGTCGAGGATAAGATCTCGATGAGAGGAGGCGAAAGAAGTGATGCTCAAGTTGAAGGTCTCGCGGCGGAGCTGATTCGGGTGACGGAGGAGAACAAGAAACTCGATGAAACGCTGCGAATCATCACGGCGAAGTACACCTCGCTTTGGAACCAGCTGAATGATCTGACGACCACCACCTCCTCTTCCGAGGGGGCGTCTCCGTCTCCCTCACCTGCTGGGAAGAGGAAGATCGAGAGCTCCGCGGGCCACACCGAGCCGGCTAACTGCAACGCGGAGTGCACGTCGGCCGAGGAGTCCTGCAAGCGAGTCAGACAGGATTGCAAACCCCCGGTCTGGAAGCTTCACGTTCGCACCAATCCATCCGATTCGAGTCTGGTGAGTTACTGAGTTCCACAGCCGTCTTCCTCGTGAGGATGTCTCGAGCGAACGTCTCACCCAAGTCTGTGCTTTGTTATGGTTCTCGAAAGGTCGTGAAAGATGGGTATCAATGGAGGAAGTATGGTCAGAAGGTGACAAGAGACAACCCCTCTCCAAGAGCTTACTTCCGGTGCTCCTTCGCGCCTGCCTGCCCGGTGAAGAAGAAGGTAAACCAAGCACCAAAACCCTAACCATCTTCTTCCCTATAAGCACTGCAAGAAGCTGATCAAGTGATGCTTACATTTGTCGTTAGGTGCAAAGAAGCGCGGAGGATCAATCCATCTTGGTGGCGACGTACGAAGGCGAGCACAATCACAGCCAGCCTTCTCAGGTCGGAGATCGCAGTGACATGGATTTCGGCAGGTCTTCGCATCCCAAGTCATCAGTGTCGGAGGAACTCCATCCAACTTTGGTGGAGCAGATGGCTCGGTTGTTGACCAAAAATCCAGCCTTCACAGCTGCTGTAGCTACTGCCATTTCCGGGATGATGCTTTAACCAAAATCCACCCCCAAAAGATGCCATGAATTCAAGGCTTCTTCTCTGTGACGCTTTCTTATAGGTAAAGGATAAATGAATTGAGCTCAGAATCTTATGATAAACAAAATAATTTGAGATCTCTCGTGCCCTAAGCGAGAATCATACCACTAGATCATATCGTTTCTTCCTACGAAAAGAGTTGGGCAGATCACTTGTGCATTACCATGAAGCTTTCCTTTTCACTCTATAATTATTCTCGCCTTCGCTTAAACAATTAAGAGAGAAAATTGTAAATCAAGAGGTTTATTTTGATCCAAATGTCGAATATCTTACTCTGTTTTCGTTTGCGAAATATAAGAAGGAAAAAAAAATTCAGATAAAGAGAACAGTAGGAAGAATCACACTGTGTGTGTTATTTTATCAAATAAATATATAATTCAAATGAAAGGGAACGGAATCATTTTTGAGAATTTTTTTTTCCTTTTCCCATAAATTGCCTAGATGGAAGTGCATGAATCAGTCCAAATAATGTAGGGAATTCCATGAAAGATTCAATTTTTTCCTCGAGTCAACCGCGGCGGCGGATCCGGAGAAGGTCAAAATCACGTGCGGTGGAATGCGCCTGGTTGTTGGCGGCTCACGGTCAACGATTCTTTCCCCCGTCCTCGCCTGATTCTCGAGTTACGACTTAAGTCTCGACTCAAGGTCATGCGGCGTGCTTCGACATGCGGCGGGATTCATAATCAACACCCGATCAAAAACTGACACATGGACAATCCGTCGTAACTCTTACCTACTTGTAAAACACGTCACCGCCACATCAGCCACTTGATCAAACACTTGTTATGTGTTTAAGAAATAAGAATACTGGTAAAATCCTTACTATAAAATGACATACATTTAATTCACGGTAATCTGTGTGACAAGTTTGGCATCAAACCCACCACACTGTTCCATGTCAAACTCATCAGAAAAGAGAAAAAAAATGATCGATTGAAGAGTTTTAAAGCAGTGAGAGATACAAGACAATGCGCGGAGCAATGGCTCACAAAAGCTAAATTGACTGTGTCCTCGCAGCTATTACATCAAGCTAAATATCTCTTTGATATCGTCGTTTACAGGGACGAGAAACACTATACAAGAATCGGGTGGTAACAAACGAAAACCTATATTTGGATCGGTCATCTGTACATACATTTCCAAATTGCTTCTTTTTCTTCAAGCCAAGCTGCACCAGAAGATACAGAACATGAACTTAATGTATCATAGTTTGGAAGAGATGAACATGCACAATGATGCTAAAAGGTGGTAAACAAATCTACAATTTTCGCAACGACGATAGCTTCTTCTCACAACTTCTTGCTCTCGAATTATTCGTATCGACCCGAGATGTTTCCCTTTGTTGTATTCTAATGTATATCAAGAACGATCCTTGCATGTGAAAGAGAAGAATTCTTGCCAGTCTATGTGGTGTTGGCACTACCGGTCGTGGATGGTATGTTCTGTGGCGCGTTCTTTGAACTGTTGATCTTCAACTTTTCATTTTCTGCTTCTTTCTGCGCCTTTTTCTTCTCCATCTCCAGTTGTTTGCAGTTCTCTTCGTGGGCGCGCACGAACATTTTGACGAAGTTGAGGAGTGTTGAGACAACTGCAAAATGAAGAGAAGAAATCACGTGTTATATATGAAGATATGTACCAAAGCTGTCTGGCTGACCAATAATAATATACGGCTAATATGCTGCGGGCAAGCAAGCCTGTTCATGCAACAGCAGCAAGTGATACCGTATGTGTAGGTATATTTCGAAACAACATGAAAGAGTAAGGTAATTTATTTATCGAAACTTGCTTGGATACTCGAAGATAAACTCGATGTTTCTTGGTTTGAATGAGATATACCTTGTTCGAATGGACACCGTGTCGGATCTTCTCCGAAATAAAGGGCTAATGCATCAGCATTTCTACCCTGTAGGTCAGATTCAAAAACAATGTCAGAAAACAAATTATAACAGGCACTAACAGATTCCAAAATCATTAGCAGCAGTAACATCAAAGCATACCACATTGGAATAAAGTGAAGTTAGAGATCGAACTTCAGCTTCGGCAACACCAAGAAACTCCTCCAGGGTCTGACAAATGTAGTTTCAGTAAGAGGGGTGGACTAAAAAAGACACACGAGAGTTTTGCATTCTTTGTCCAGAGTTCCATATTGCATCAAAGATCCTACTTGTGAGCATTAGTATGAATATGACTCAATACCTTACAGAAAATTTGTGATACAGGACCATCATTTTCTGATGCTGTCAATTCCTGTTCAACCTTCTCAAGGCCTTTGTTTATTGCTTGCATTTCTTCTGCCAGAAATTTCAGTTGCATCTGTAGAAAATAATTACTTCATTGAGTTAGATTTTGAACTTGTGAGAAAAAAAAAAAATTAAGTGAAGAATTTTAAAAGTCCAGGAAGAAAATCAAGCTAGCAAGAAAAAATTCATTAACTTACCTTAGCTGCAAGTTCCAAGCTAACAAGATGCTTGGGAAAATCAAGAAGTTCAGGAAGTTTGTCTGCAAGAACCTGCAGGTTGATAAGGAAGAAAAGAAAGGTTTGGATAACAAAATGAGTTTTGATTAATAATTTTAGACTTAGCAACAAAAAAATAGACAAACGAAGGAGAAGCAAGTAGAAACTCATTCATGATATGCAAATGATACGTCCAGTTTTATAATGGAAGATCACATAAAGAAGCTAAATGTTCTATTTTATCATGAAAAAGGGAAACCAGAGCCCAAAAGAAAAAAAAAAAAGGAAAAAAACAGATGGAAAGCTGAATTTCCAAAATATTTTCCATTATATTTAACTGAACTAGGAACCGAAAGTCAGGATTTTCGATAAAAGATAAATCATGGCCTCTTGTCGTTGATTAAATTGACTGCATTTATAGTGAAAACCTAAGCTCCACATGCCCATGACTATATAATGAAGTATAAAATCTTATTTTACTGCAACATTTTACGACCAAAGTACATATATTTAAACTGATTTTTATATACATAGACAAACTTGGATAAAATAACGAGAATTTCTTAAACTTCGTCAAAAGAAATTTTGTCAACAATCTTAAACCATATCGATCCCAGTCAAACTGATATATAAGCTATCTTTTGTAGAAGAAATAAAACCTCGTTTCTGATAATAAGCTACCTTGCACAAATAATGCATGAGAGTCATCCTGTTGTTGCGTGCTCGTGTGTCAGTAAGTTTGAGAAGGCTATCCAACCTAAATCCAACGGCAGAACCTGCAAACATAGGGTAACATATACAACAAACATGTGAAGTATCACATAATATGCATGAACAAAAACATCTTAGATGGAAACATAAAAAGCTTGTTTTGGTAGAGAAAATTAAATAGCTCACATCTGAAGCATCAGATGGTGTCTAATTAATTTTTTATTAAAGTAACTGAAGCAAGAAGTAAAAACATATATCAAAACAAACTCAAAATTGAGAATAATATTAAGGAATTTGGAGCATTTGAATATGATATTTAGTCTTCAAAACTATGAATTAAAATACTTCTAAAAAAATATCTAAAGCATGCAACATAATGATCAAGTCAATGGAACTAAAACCCAAAGGCTTCTGGAGTAACAGATATGTCCTTACATCAGTATCTCATCATATCCTGTAAGATAGGACTCTATGGCCACTGCAATTGTCCCGTCTTATTCTCCAATCCTCTAATTTAAAACTATATATCAGACCTTAACTATCAAACAGCAGATTCCAACATCCAAGGAGAGGTTTTCACAGAGCAGCTTAGATTGCATTTCTAACAGGCAGTAATGAAGATAACTGAATCCCATCCCAAGCTTCTCTAGTGAAGTGCCAGTGCAGAATCCCATGATCTGCACATAGCCGTCAGGAACAGTTGGGTTCTAGGCGACTTTCAAAAATCCATCAACCAAAATTATATTGTCTAAATACTGTGTAGGAAGAAGCTATGACGACATATATTCCAAAATAGATGTGTAAATTCACATATAAGATATGTTTGTGGATATAGCTTTACTATTACAGTCACCTATGAACATAATAGCCATAACAAAATTCTTGTGAAAATTCAGTCTTAAGAACTGAAATCAGTGGAGTGATGGTATATATTGTGGCCAAGGAAAACCAAAGCAGAAAGTGGAAAGTAAATTAAAAAAGGATATATGGACACAACAAAATACAGAAAAGGCATATGGAAACATAAGCAAATCAAATATCAATAGCTTCCACAGAAATCCGTGTCTTTTGTCCATGTTATAGAGAAACTTTTTTGGTTTACAGAACACTTCTAGACCAACCGTTGTTGTCTAAGAAAATTCAAATTCATGTCTATGATGTTTTTAAGGAGCCATTTCATTTCATGACAAAATTCTTGTGATCTAGTACCTTGTATCATTTTATTCCAAAAGCATATACAACTCTCGGAGATAACTGATATCAGCCAGTTGTATGAAAATCAAGATAAAATAAGGTGGCTAATGAACATAACAAATCAATTCTAGAACAGTATTGCTTTGCCCAGTCCATGATCTCCACGGTGGTCTCTTCAGTTTGAGATAGCTTACAAAATTTATTAGTATATGAAGATGACATCAACTGTCATCAACCACAACAATGTCTACATCTTCTTGCAACCTGAATTTCACCTTTTCACATATTCTGATGCTAACAGTGGTTTAGAGGAAATCAAGAACCACCATTTTGTGCCTCATTGAGCACATATTGGTATAAAATTATCAGATGAAAATGTAGCTTCTGCACATAGTTTTCACAAAAACCAACATACCAAATAAAATCAAATAGATTATGTGAATGCATGTTTGCAATTGAGATTATTCCTCTTGATAAAAAGGATATATTTGGTGCACGAGACTCTCCCCCAATGCAAAGTTTAGAGAGGGTCAATATATTCAGTCTTACCTTGGTACATTGTTCTTACAATCCAATTATCTCATAATGTTTATAATTGGGATTCTTATTCTTGATATATAATGAAAAATAATTTTCTCATTAAAATTGTTCTTACAATCCAATCAAATAACGCTTCCTTACATCATAGTCCTTAATCTAGTTAAGAGAGAATTGACCAATTGTTACCATACCAATTCATATTCATTGGGCTTATATTACCTAAGTTTTCTTGTAGTTCGAAATTATAGTCCAACAAAGTTTCCTGGTAAATAATCTTGGGAAAATAAATATGAACCAATTTATGTTTTACAGTTAGGAAAGGAATGAACGAGTAGCCAAGTATGTACTTACGAAAAGAGGTAACCAAGGATGTGTGTGCTACCTTCTTCGACTTTTACTGAATTTAAAATCATCTAGATTATGTGATATATAGCTCTAGGGTAATCAGATGGAAATCTGTATTTTCTTTATATAATGTGCTTAGATTTAGTATCCTACAGAAGATGCAAGGTCAAGACTATCAGCATGCAAGGACAACGTTGCTTCACATGATAGGTATTAAGTGAAACATCATGTGTTTCTGAACATGAAATGATCAATTGTATAATAAGAGCAAAGATGATGTAAAAATCCACAATGTGTAATTTTGACTCACCCCTGGCAGTTCCCTGGTTTAATGCATTTCCCAAAGAAAGAATGGTCTTCATAATTCTTTTCAATTTAACAGAACTTCTGATCTGAGAATGGAAGAGATATATAGTAAGCTATGGAATCTCAGAACCAGCTAGTTCACTGCCAAGATAGTCAAACTGCAAACTGAAAAAGGCAAAAAATGGACTACCTCTTCTGCAGCAGAGTTGACAATGTTCAGGCTAGCTTTGAGGTCAGCAACCTAGTAGAGAAAATATGAAGAAAAATAATTCCAAGAAACATCCTCAAATACATCCAAAGGAAAAACATGAGATTATCCAACCTGTGATTGGAATTGGATTTTAAATGAGAACACTCTTAGCTTGGATTCCACCCGTGGTACTTTCATCAGCTCCAAGAAATACTGGTTAAAATCAGGGGAAAGACAAACAAACAAACAGTATATATCAGAGATTGTTTTAGGTGCCAATCACAATTCAATTCCTAATCTCAACCATTATATTTAAGCAAAAGATTAAATAAGGCTTTAAATCGATCTTCTGAATGTTGATGTAACAGCAAAAGAACTTGATTTAGAAGAAATTTGCAAACGACAAACAAAAATTCCTGATGATTGTTGCACCAAGACTACTAATTTTCGTGGAGGATCTGTGTCAACTTGATCTATCTTCTACTTCAAAAAATTGCAGCAAAGAATCAAATTGAACTTGTTTACCTGCTCACATTTCCCTAAGTTTTCTTTATCTCCATTGTATCCCTAATAATTACAGGAAAAAAACAAGTTGAAGCATAAGAAGCAAAGAAATGGGAAAATATATTGCCAAGGGAAAATAAAAAAAAGAAGCAAAATAACATATAACAACCTTGAGTAGTTCCATTTCCTCCTTTGTTGGGCAAAACTTAATGAGGTTATCAACCTGATCAACATCTAAAATGGAATCGTCAAGGGTAAGAACTGAACTCTGTGAACAAAATCAAAAAGCAATCAGGACCATACTTAATGCCATAACCCAGGATCAAGAAACTAATGAAGAAATGTTTAGCAAATATTCATCACCTAGGAAATTACTACCTATATATATAAGCCATTAAAAAGTTAATTCAAAACTTACCTAGTTAGGATTTAGTCCCATTAAAAGAAAAAAAATGCTGCTTAACATAAACTTGTCTCATCTAGACAAGTGACTGAAAATTTGTCAAAAATAAAACAAGAGGATGAAAAATCAATCTACACTTTTATATGACAAAAATACATCAAAAGTAAATGTTCAAGAAGAAGGTAAGCTTCAAATTTTGAAGAAACAGCTGCTATGAAACTAACCAGAAGTCATCTGCTTACCAGTAAATCATTTAGTGGCATCTTAACCTTTGTAAGCATGATTTCGCAATTATTAGCTCGTCTAAGATCAATCTGCAAGTGCAAGTAATGTAAATAAATTATGAGACATGTTTGAGCTTGTATATGATCATATTAAAAGCACGTATATGCCCTCATATTATATTTTTGCCATCAAAGTTATTTTAGTTTGTTCCATGGCTCTTTTTTCATTTCAAAATGTTCAAATTTAAAATTTCCTGTTTTATCCTCTCATATGAAGATTTATATCCACAACAAATTAGTTACAACAATTGAATTTAGTTAAGAAGGAAACCAATGAATCCTTAACTAAAAGAACAAATCATATATATACACAAAATAGGCCACTGATATTCCTAGAGAAGCGCATTCGTGATACTCCACCCTTATGTAAGAGAAATTTTGACTTGGTTTATAAGACTAAATGAATATGCTATCATAGTCTATGGCCTAGATATTCTGGGCCAAGTGGTTCATGCCTATCAAGTTAATGGGTCAAATAGCCAATACGGCTAGGAGTGAACATTTATCTTCTCTTGAGTTCCATGTTGATCCACAAATCCTGATTACTTTATTTCAACATATTTAACAATGATGTGCTGAACTAAGTAGAAGGAACAATTGTTGATCTCAAGTACTCTTAAAGATCACTACTTTGCTGATTTCTTGAGAGCCTGCAAATGGCTTCTCTAGGAAACTAAAGTTGGTTTCTTGAGAAGAGGTTTTCTTCATTTAAAAGAACTCAACCCTTACTAAAATACTTGATGTTGAATTTGCTAGCAATCTCATCTCTTATGCATAATAAAATCTTTATCCTCTTCTTGCAAATATTTTTTAAAGCATTTGCATACAATGATTGAAAATGATGCCAAAAGTACCAAATTTCATTTTCTACATAATCCAAAAAAAGATATCAAAAACACTTTGATACAAGATCTAATGAGAGTATTATTTTTAGTAGACTGTATCCAACCCCACATATAGCCATAGTAACCAACAAAAATGGAAACAAAAGGACACCTCACTTTGCCAAATTTGAAATGTGATGGCCACTCAAACTTACAGGCAGATGAAAAATAAGAACTTCATGTGGAAAACAAAAGAATACACTAGAATCACCATTAGGATCTTTGTTTTGATGCATTCACCAAACTATCATATGGAGGGGTATGTTGTGTTGCTTTAACAATCAGCATCACCACCCTAAAAATATTCTTAAAGATACAACACTTTTGACTTCTTCAGGATTAAGAAAGCAGGCAACTATGATTTCAAACTTTCCATCGAGTCTCATTAGGGGCTTGGGTTTTCAATCCTCGCAATCTCTAAACAATTTTGCCTCCAGAATTCACCATGTTTTCTCTCTGTTAGAGACTGAGAATCCTAGGTGTTGACTCTAATCATAATCTGAGTATTGTTCATCATCTTTCTGCAGACTGACATTTGGAGCAAGCTGGCTAGAAAGATAAGTTGAGCCGTCTAAAATAATAGAACCTGGCATTTAGGAACATGTGTTGGTCCATACAAATGAATGTTTTCTAACAATCATGCAACAATTTGAAAATTTTATTCTCTTCATTTAGATCACTTGGATCAAATGCAGGCCCTAGTCTTCTTCAGAGCTTTAGCCTTCCTTCCAGTACTATGAAGAGAATTGTTAACACAAGTACACTATGAATAACTTGTCTAAGTTTGTCTTTCTTCTTCTGGGTGTCAAATGTCCAAATTCTAACTAATCCTTTGGAATTTTTAAGTCTGCTTTCGATTCTATATTTTACAAACCGTAGTCAAATGAAAGATGGAAGGGAACAAAATCATCTTAATTCCTGTGAGTTGATCCTTTCAATATACAGTATGTGCAGAAAATTAAGCTTAAGAGAGACACCAATTCTAGAGCTGTGAATTAATTTAAGTTGTCATATGTAGAATAACCAAAATTATGGACATACCCATTTCCCCAAGCTGTTAATGTAGGCATATTATGTATTAGTGGTTCTTGTGATAATTCACAGAAATAATTAAATATCCTAACATCATGAACTACAATAGTTTCTCATGGAAAGGTTAGTTAATGTTAATGAGATTGAAACTCCATAAAGAAAGAAACAAAATGAATGGATGACTCATGCATCGGATTAACAAGAAAAGCTAAGGCTATCAGATAAACTGTGACTAGCAGATGGCTATATAACAGTAAAATCTACATATTTTTCTCTCTGAACTTACAAGAAATCTTTACCAGATGAACTTTGTCAGATTTTGGACCCATGGAACCACTGGATTTGGAACCTAAACGCCGAAGTTCAGAATTTGGAACTGCAGCTGAAAAGAGACTCTCAAGCTCAGACATGTCGAACTCTGGCGCCCTAGCACACAAAAAAAAAAAAGCAAAAATGTAAGACAAATTTTTTGAGAAGGTAAAAACTTCACAAAGTAAAAATGGATGGTCAAATACTTCAAGCATTCATCACAATTTTGTGACTCCGCCCATAGGCTTCCTTGCACTGCTCTTGTTACTTTGATCCAATGCAATGGCTTCAAATTAGCCTTTCTAGATAATGCTTGTGCAGTCTGCATTCCCCTGTAATTTGAAGTTGGCGCCAAGATGCGTCCTTTCCCACCTGGTGGAGCATTCATGCCATTTGGGGGTGGCGGAGGTATTACCTCAGAGTTGGTTTTCTTACCTCCAGATGATTTAGGAGCAGTAAGGCTCCCCAAGGAACTTGAAGGTGCAGGAGGAGGTGGTACAGGTGGGGCAGATGATGATTTGGTAGAATGTTGTGATGAAATATTAGGTGGTGGAGGTGGAGGTGGTGCTGAGCTTGCAGCTGCAGGACCAGGCAGCGGGGGTGGGGGTGGAGGAACACCTGCTCCTTCAGTTGCATTTCTCACAGGCATTAAGTTACTTTGGGGACACGGGGACGCCATCAAGGGTGGT